TGAATATATGTGCAGGCGATAAACGATACTCAAGCATTCATATTCATACAATTGCAACATTAATAATGGTATGTACAAGTTGTTATTGAACGAATGACTCTGTCTGTTAAATAAGTTAACAAAAAGGGTTTATCAGAATGGGTTTTGTGGAGATTTTAGAAATTTCACAGATTGAAATCATGAATCAGTTGAAGCTAGACCACCATTAAGTGCTCGCGCGCGAAGCCAGTAGGTCCTGGGTTCGGGCCCCGCGTGGTGCGGGATCGTGGATGCGCACTGCTGAGGAGTCCCATACTAGGACGAAACGGCAGTCCAGTGCTTCCAGGTTTTCAATGGTGGTCTAGCTTCAACTGACTCATGAGTTCAATCTGTGAAAATTTCTAAAAATCTCCACAAAACCCATTCTGATAATAATCAACTGCTCACTAGTGACTGACTTCAGGAAAAACTCCCGAAGTTCTAGTGAGAAGCCGTTACCAGTGGAGTTCAACCAGGTCTATTGTGAGATTGGAACTCACTGAAGACAATGGTGTACGGTGGCGCAACTTCGTGGATTGGTTGAAGTTAGACATTAACACCGTTGGATGCCGGCTCAGTGGTCTAGTGGTTAAGTGCTCGCGCGCGAAGCCAGTAGGTGCTGGGCTCGAGCCCCGCGTGGTGCGGGATCGTGGATGCGCACTGCTGAGGAGTCCCATACTAGGACGAAACGGCCGTCCAGTGCTTCCAGGTTTTCAATGGTGGTCTAGCTTCAACTGACTCATGATTTCAATCTGTGAAATTTCTAAAATCTCCACAAAACCCATTCTGATAATAACAATCACCTGCTCACTAGTGACTGACTTCAGGAAAAACTCCCGAAGTTCTAGTGAGAAGCCGTTACCAGTGGAGTTCAACCAGGTCTATTGTGAGATAGGAACTCACTGAAGACAATGGTGTACGGTGGCGCAACTTCGTGGATTGGTTGAAGTTAGACATTAACACCGTTGGATGCCGGCTCAGTGGTCTAGTGGTTAAGTGCTCGCGCATGAAGCCAGTAGGTATTGGGCTCGAGCCCCGCGTGGTGCGGGATCGTGAATGCGCACTGCTGAGGAGTCCCATACTAGGACGAAACGGCCGTCCAGTGCTCCTAGGTTTTCCATGGTGGTCTAGCTTCAATCGACTCATGATTTCAAAAAGGGTTTAACCAAATCTTATAATTGCAATAGTCTGAACTCAACATAATAATGTTATTTTCATACATATAGTTCCCTTTATCATTTTGAAAAGAGCAAGACCAAAGATTCTAACAGAATAACATGAATTCATTTCTATTTCGTAGGTTCTCGTCAGCTGCTTACAACCTGTAGTATCCAAAAAAGATAATAATTACATAATGGGTTGAAATTGCTTACTGAATATTGTAAATATATACCTTATGTGAAAGAATACTCTAGAGCATTAATCATGACAACAGTTCAGAAGTGGGTTAGAAACAATTGATTACATAATGAATAAACATTGATAGGAATAGAGTGAGTGGAGTTCAGTTGAAAGATTATTAATTTTTTTATAAAGATAGTTGAAAAAAAAATAAAATCAATGACGTAATAAATATAAAAGATAAAAATTAAAAAGAATTTAAGCTGCAGCGGAAGAATATTTGTCACCAAGGCAGGGAAAGATTAACAATCATCTCCTTTTGAATACATAAATCAAGTTTTTAGCGTCTGATAGCAACTGCTTCAGCAAACTTCAGAAGACTGGAGTTTGGCTGCTTACTAATCACCTTGAGTGATTTTAGGGTGTCAACCTGATGGCCTATTGCTTTACAAGGCACAAAAAGTACAATCACTAAAATCGTTGTGGCTGGTAACATGCATTCAGGAGAATGAACATTAATGAGTTGTCGATTCACGAACTACTAATTCCCAGTCGACAATCTTCAATCCCTACCAATCCAAAACATATATCATAACTGTGGTGTAACCACAATTCAAGAAGCTTGATCAAATAATTTTCAAGATGACTGCTTAGCACCACAACAAGATTTCAATATCTATCGTCAGTATCGATGAAGGAATAGGAAAGGTTGTGGCGGCAGTGTAACTATGTTTGTACTCGTGAACTGATTTTGGTCCATGTTTGTATGTTTTAAGTTTTCAAACGAATTTATCGACTGCTTAACTTTAAGATGTCGTTAAAACACATGCATAAATACAATTTGTTTTGGTGCCAATACGTAATTGACTCCGAACTGCACACCATTTGCATTATGTGTTTATGCAGATGAATTCACTAAAATTCTCAGTTTCTGCCTTCACTGAATCGCTTTCAATTGTATGAGGTGATTATAGTTCAAGTGACTGTTGCTTTCTTTCGTCAATAGATCACCAAAATGTAGGAGATTTTCACAGCCATCCGGATGCCTATTTCGTCAGAGATTTGATTAATGTGAGAACATATGCAACTTGTGGACGTGCATCATTATCTGGTTCTGAACATCGTATAATTTGTGTTCAACCTGGAGTATTTGGCAAGTTTGGAAAGAGTACATTCCTACATCAGACAAAGAAAGTCAAATACAGGAATTACGTCAAATGAAATATCTGTTATTCACAGATGACTCACTGAAAAACATCTGTGGTATTATAACTTGTTATGCGGAATTCTGTTTTGATATTTGTTGTCCCACTGAAAAATGTTTTGTAAGTTTTGGTCGACTTACATCTCCACAGCTAGAAGGATAATGTACGGTAAAAGAATGAGTGTACTTGAATTTCAAAAGCTAGACATTTCATGACATCAATATGAGTTGTACGTATTCTATACTTATTTGAGTTTACTGTATTGATCTTATTCATCTTAACGCTTCACTTATGAATAATATCACACAACCGTGAGTCACAGATACACAGTGAATAGACGCCACGTATCATAACATTGCAGCTGTCCAGTGTTTGCTCATTTCGTGTGATTATCTAGCCGAAGTCGATCTGTGATGGAATCTAAAATCAAAGTTTATTTGTCCATATTTATCTGAAAGTGTAAGATATTTTGTTGATCTCCTTCTGATGAATACAAGTTGATTGATGATGTAACTTTCTATTGTGTAAAGCTCATAATAATAACAGAAATATAATAAGTTGAATGAATATCTCGTTATCAACATAACATACTGATTATCAAGGCATTAAATCAATTAGAAAAATGTTAGTGGTAAGCTGTACAAAATACGTAACTGTATTTTTCTCTGTTCACGAATAGAGAACGAATTTGAAGATTCCTGAAAACTATCTCTCCTTGGATTAAATTGGTACCGTTTTACTTGAATAAATTAACTACATGGCAAGCACTTGTGAATTGTGTACGTCAAAAGTAGTCACAAATAGTAATGTTGAGTTCTTTGTAGAAACATGAAGTCAAGAGTTTACGTTTATCAAACTAAAACGACTAATGTGAAGTGAGAACAACATAAATGGTACAATGATGTAAAATTGTAGTATGATGGTCTACTGCGTTATTAGTGCTGCTCTTAATATAGACCCAATGACGAAATTGTAGATTTGTCATGATGTAACTGCTTAATCTATGAGATCTTACGTGGACGTCACGTCATTATCTATAGTGACTCATTGTATAGTAACAATAACTAATATATGATGGAGAACACATTTGAGGGAGGATCGACCACACATGCCGGGCTGAGCTATGCCATCTGTTGAATTGAAATAATGTTCCCGCGTTCTCCACTGTTAACCTGCGCTTTATGTCGATTAATTAATATAAGCCGTTTCAGGAATTGTATTCTCGGCTTCAAAAGTCGTGTGATTTGGATCCAATGCTACTACAAATTCATTCAGTTTTTTTTGTATCTCAGTCTTCCATAAACACACAACTTCATGAATGTATAAAATATTCTGCATATGTGAATCTATGAATTTATTTTATTTGAGCGCATAAATATCGATGCATATAGGCACCGAATGTATGTGCGCCACACATTCACTTATTTTCTTTGTGGGCTTTGGTACCGTCTTGTTGTCCTGTCCGAATCAAATAGTCTTCTGAAGGGGTCACATCCAGAGCCGTCAACCTTAATTTGTGATCAACAAGACAGTAGAGAATCTTCAGTTAATGCAGTCCCATGGTAGCCGGTGACCAACGGTAGGTTGATACGACCGTTGGTTTAGAATCTGAGCTTTTCAACCCCCATAGATTGATCCTTTGTACCTACAAACCTGGTTGAAGCTCCGGAAATCCGCTTTTCATCCTTTGAAGTTCGCAAACAATATCCCTACCATGAGAATGCACTCATTAGAACTTCCCTGGTAGTGGATTTATATACGTGGTTGTTTAAGAGGATTTTGAGATAGAGGGCAGATTCTCCCCACAATAAGCCGTATTAAGGTATTTGGAGGCGTTTGCGCATGACACGAACCCAACAGTTTGGTTGGCTATCATGAAGATTTAACAACCTGAAGGATTGCTTAAAAACTAACTAATGTTGTAACTGATGTAACCTCAGTATCCATGACATTCCAAATGATGATTTGCGAATACGATTGCAGTTTACGTAGATCGTTTTAACCCGAATCCACAATGCATCTTGCTAAATATAATTCATCAGTTATCTTACGGTTCTTGTAATGCCTAATATACAAATAAGATTAAAATAAAATTTGTACATTGATCTTATATCATATTGAGAGCGATGAATGCTGGACTTAAGTATAAGACGTTGCAAAATGAAATATTGTTTACTGATCCACTTGACCTGACTGATTTTCATTTGATGATACTAAGATAGGGTCAGTAATTGACCCGAAAATCAGTAACTCTTACAGGTACATAATATGTTGAGATTTGAATTGTCCATGTTGAAGTGGAGTCACAAAAGAAATAATTTCAACAAAATCATGAGAACCCCTTGTAAATATAATAATTAAACAGAAGTGTTCGTGAGATCTTGACTGTAAACGGTTACTATAAAACAACAGTCAGAAGTTACGTTTTGGAGTTACATGATGAAAATCAGCGTTGTTGTTCCTATTCTCCTTGTGTTGTTGAGTTCAGTTGAATCTGCTCGTCGTTGCAAAGTTGCTGAATCTATAAAACCGGTAAGTTAAGTGATTATTGAATTATAGAATACTTTAGAGAGACGGCGTTTACTCACAGAATACAGAAAAAAGATTGTTGAAAAGCAGAAATCTGAAAATTATACCAATATATGATGTTGAACTTCAGAGGAGTAAAGCATTCCCAAAAATAAAGGTTTGTTTCAGTATATTTGTTTACATAAGAAATCATCTTTGAAAAATCAATGTTTAAGAATATGACAAACTAGAAAACGGCCTATTTTTAGACGAAATCGGAATGAATAGTTCATTTTCCGAATGTCGGCATTATTAATATGTTCATAACTAAAATGACGAACAATTTTGTGGATATACGAAATGGTTGATATTTATTAATTCCATTGAGATTAAAGATAGATTTAGTTTAGAGAACTACTGAAAAAATGGAACGACTGTTCAGTTTTCCCATTTTTTCTGTGGTTGTTTATCTTCTCCACCGTCAAGTTGAATCACCTCGTTTCCGTTGACTGGTACTCCTGGTTTCTCAAGTTGTCTGGACATTATATGAACCTGTAGAAATTGTTGTTAGAGATGGCATCAGCCACCTGACTTAAGAAGATTATTGGCTTTTATCATAAGGCGTCGCGATTCATTTGAATGAATACCATTCAACTCTCAGAACAGATTTTGAATGGTTTATTCTGGTTAGCATCTTTTTAGCAAGATTTGATTCTACGTGATGAGGTTACCGACCCCATACCCAAACCTCGTTTTTGTGAACTTTGGACCGTCAGTAACTTTACAAGAGCAACAGCGACAGTTTCTCAGTTTCTGCATTCATTTATATTACGTAAAGTCTTTTGCAATCACTGTCACTTTTCATTTATTTATTTTTACAAAAATTTCTGTTATCATTCGTTTTCTGTCAAGAATTCTATGCTTGTTTTTATTCCCACCGACAGAACGCAATTGAGAGTGCTTCCAGTTATTGGGAGAGAGCACTGGTTGTCAATGTAGATAAACAAGAATCGTTACTCGTTCGTAGGTAAATTATGAATTATAATGTTTTATTAAATGATGTCTATATCAGTTTTTGGCCACAATTTACATATGAACATAATACTAGTGTTTTTACAGTAAAGCTAGTCATACTATTGATTCTGATTTGCATAAACATTGTTTTAATGTCAAGTTTTGCATAAACTATTCCGAAACTGGCGATCACTATGTCGACCCCTTGACATTATCTACGAATATAATGTTCAAAGTGTGCTCAATCCTGTTCTCAATGTAGTAGTCTTTTATCTAGGATATACAATGAGTATTCACTCTTCATCTTTCGACAGAATCAAATCAATGCTCAGCTCAAAGCTTCTTTAGACTCACTTCGATCCCAGCTTGAGAACTGTTGTTGCATCTAATGTCTCTAGTCATGGAGTTGGAGCAGTGATAACTCACGTGTTTCCGGACAAATCAGAGAAGACAATTGCTCGTGCTGCTAGATTACCCGACCTAGCTGAGCGAAACTACAGCCAAATTAAAAAAGAAGCTCTTGGAATCATTTTTGCTGTCAAAATACTTCATAAAATGCTCCATAGTCTTACGTTTACTCTACTGAGAGATCATAAAACTAATCGCAACTTTTGGAATCCCTGTCTATACGACTAATAGATTACAGCGCTGAGCAACAATGCTCCTGAGCTATGAGTTCAATATCAAGTATCAGTCGATATATACTATCGATCAAGCCGACACTCTTACTCGATTGGTTGGAGTTCAAAATCCTGGACCAGAGAACATAATCATTGCCTCCAAAGCAGATACCACTCAAAACTTCAACTCCTCCCTTCTAATATCCACTAATGGTAATCAATACACAATATAATCTAATATTGTATTGACTTGTATTTAATGTTAAACAACCATGTATGTGTTAACAATTGCAAAATTATGATTAATCCAATGATTTTGTTATTCAGAGAATGTGTAAATAATAGATTGATAATTCCTGGAAAAGAGAAACAAACATACTGTGATATGGGTGGATGTGAACAAACTCAAGAATGTTATGAATTTAAAATTCCTAATGATTATCTATCTGTAAGTGTTTGTATAATTTGACTTGTGCTATGTAGAAAGTTTTCTTAATCACATTGGTGTTATGTAACTTAAACGACGTTTTTGTTGTTGTTGTTGAAGTCATCTGATGATGAAAGAAGCATTTAGAGTAATTCTTAGATCTGATCTGTAGTTTACATCACTGTTTGTTAGTTGTAGCAGATTCTATTTAAACTGTAGTCTCTAAGATTTCTGATGGAGTACAGTGTTCAGACAAAAGTTGAATCTAGTATAGATGTTGTGGAGATTAATAAGCTTGTGATTGAAATCATGGATCGATTGATGTAAGAACACCGTTGGAAACCTGGAAGCACTGGACGGCCGTTTCATCCAATGGAAAATAGTCACATAATTTCGTGGATTGGTTGATGTTAGACACTATCACCATCGGATGCAGGCTCAGTGGTCCAGTGGGTTAATCGTTCGCTCGCGAGACTGAAGGCCCTGAGTTGGAATCCCGCAAGCGGGCTCGTAGATACGTACTGCTGAGGAGTACCACAATAGGACGAAATGGCCGTCCAGTGCTTCCAGCTTTCCAAAGGTGGTCTAACATCAATCGGTTCATGATCTCAATCAAAGAGTTGAATCTGTCAAAATCACAAATAACTCACAAACAAATGACTACCATGATAAAATCTTCAATGGCCAATATTTATACTGACAGCATGTCAAATTAAGTTAACAAAATATTATTCAAGCAAAGATGGTTAATGGTTAGCAGAGGAATACAGAACTCGCGTTTCATCCAGTTTGGGACTTATCAGTTAGATGTTCCTGTGTCGCAGAGTTGATGTTCACTCAAATATAAGCATGAGCTTATTTGAATAACTATTTTTATTTTACGAAATACTATCAATTTTATATCTTATTCATATAGTTCTGGATTTTACTAGGAAGTATGGGTCAGATTTAGTTGACACAGATGGAATATTTAAGGTTAATAAAGAGTTGAGTGAGTTATTCAATAAATAGAAAAATCTGACGGCTCTCATGTTATGTGTTAAGTCGATTGAGATAGGTAAATATGAAGGTCTTGATTTCAACTGTAAAGTGTTCTCATTGTGAAATTAAACCATACTAGAATTTGTTTGTGATCGTAAGCACGAAATTGAGCAGAGTTTTAAGTTTGGAAAAACCAACTATCCCAGTTTTAAGTCAGTGATGAAAGCTAACCCCTCATTGAATTCATCTTTTAGAATAGTTTACTTGAATAGATAGCTCTGTTTCTAATGTTATTGATATAAACAGAACATGAATGAATGAATGAATTATTGCACAAATAATAACTGTATATGAAATGCTTGAATATGTCCATATAACTTTACACAACATGTGGACTTATTTTTAGGCATGCTATCAACAAAAATCTAACAAAAATGTCCTGGTTTTTCCTGAAGGGAAAGGAATAGCTCCAAATGAATTGGTACTATTTGTGAAAAATGTATATTTTGGTGTCTGTGATGAATATGTAGTTGCATGGGCTTCATTTTGTGACAGAGATCCAACCAATGGAAGGCAAGTTATTCTCATTTACCACTTGTTAATTTAATAAGTGATTGTTTTTATCCACTATCTTTATGTGAAACTTGTACAATCACAGAATGGCGAAAATTGGCCACGTCGTCATAATCAGTTAATCCATTTCATCTCATATTATTGATATGTAGTCGAAATAATTGAGTTTCTAAGATGAGATCGTGATGTGAAACATTAAAATAAGTGATCCTGTTTATCAAACTCTTGCGTTGGCTGGTTGATAGTTTTACCTCCTCATATAACATGAATTTCAATATTTTAATGTTGACGATCTTCACATACCTCTCTAATCCGGTGTTTATTGTACATGTTTTGTTTTCTGTAAATCATTAACTCCAGAAAACATGTGTCGTACGTTAATGTTGTCTGTTATTACAGCCAAATTCCATACGTGTTATTTCCATTTCGACTTAGCGAGATTGAATCTGTAAGACATTATTCAAATGTCTTCATTCATGAGTTCTAGCTGACACTTCTAATGGTTTACACATTAAGTTTCCTCAAATTATTTGTGCAAAATGGTATGTTGTAAGTAATCCTCTATCCGAATTAACTGCATATTTTATCAAATGATGTCTTGAACAAAGTTTATTCAGTAGAAGACTACTGAAACATTTGTCGATAGTGTTCGAAAATGAGCTTTTGTTGTAGGTATAACAAAAAAAAACATCATGTTTGTGTATAAATACCTCGAAAGATAATTTCACTCTTGTTTGCATTGTGTGTAATGATGAATCTCTATGAATACAGTTAGTAGATAAAGTACACATAATTAAAGTTTGATCATTGACTAGCTTTGAGATGAATTTCTGTAGTCTTTGTCAGAAGTCTTGACTGCTGATTACAGTCACATGAGTGACGAAATTTACCACCGATCGAATTAAATGATATTATGGTCTATTGTAAGTAAACTGGAGACTTGGAACACGATTCAGTGGATATAAACCCACAGTTTTGAGTGGTTAGATAAATAATCCTCTGCTAATTTGAAGTAGCTTTTGAATGTTTCTTTAATTTTAATGATTTTGAAGTTTGGGTAAGTCAAAGAGCTTCAAAAATGAGCATTATATACAAGTTTATCAAGGATCGTCTGTAGAAAAAAAGATTTTTAAAGTTATTATGAAGAATATTCTAGCTTGAAATTTGTTTGTGAATCATTTACTACTTAAATGGAAAATAAGTAGTTTGTTTTGATATATACACATATAGGCCATTTGTGGGTATTGTGAACTTTTGCCCATCAGTGGACGATATTCTCAAAACGGAAGATTATGATCTAATTTTAACAGCCAAACATGAATTAGGTCATGTATTGGTAAGTCTCTGATTAATACTTGTCCGATGAAACGCATGAATACTTACACTAAGTGATAACGTCTTATTCAGTGTGTTGTTAATGCAAAAATAGACTAAATTATTTAGTTAGTATTATCTACATTTTAGGAGTCGTATGAAAATATAGAACACACCTTATCTCATCAATTTAACTACTGAATATCTTATACCTTCTTGGTGCCAAACACTTCCAGGGATTCGTTGTGACGATTTTGTTTAAATGAACTGACAAGTTCAAAGCATTCCAAAATATGCTACGAAATTAAAATACCAAAATACGTTACTTACAGAAATGATTAGGTATCCATGACTTATAGATGATGTTTATATTGCCATATAAGAATTGCTATTACAAAAGATCCTCTAATATATAACTGTAGTGGCATCGGACCATAACCACACAATCCTCAAAGCTGAACACGAGACAACTCGGAAAATAGTTATTCAATATTTAACGCAGAGAAATACCTAACGATGGAGAAGGCGCGGAGAATGAGTTGAATGGACTGAGGTTGATCGAGTGGCATGGCTCGACCATGCAGGCGTGGTCTCTGCTGAATATTACCTTATATCTTTTATCCATATTAAATATATTATTCTTTCTCTAGCCTAAGCTTGTTCTTCATCATCCATTGGTAATTGATACGATACATTGAGTAGGTGTAGACGATGATGTGACTTCCATGTAAGATCTTATAGATTAGGCAGTTATATCATGACAAATCTACAATTTTAAGATTAGGTCTATTATTAGAGGAGTACTAATATCATAATAGACCATAACTTTACATATCCATGTTGTTTTCCAAAGAGATAAGAATTTGTTTCAGGTATTGTCATATCATAATCAATATCAAGATGAAATACATCTACCAAGTTGGATTAAAATTTGTTTATAAAAGTGAATTTACTTCTGTTTTGTTGCTTTTAAGGGATTCCATGGTGATATCTTTTCTTCCTTACCGCGTTTAAAACCTGAATTTCGATTATCCAATAATGAGTAAGCATTTACGTAATGTAATTACTAAGAGTTGTTTTGATCTCCAACAGTTATATATTTGCATTGTTATTAATATAATATCCTCATTTATTGATGAATATGAATTCGGTACAACATTTTTCTCCGATCACTAATGGTGTAGTTTAGAACACGTACATAATGAACAATATAACATCATCGAATGAAAAACTGATAGTAAACAAGCTTCAAGAGTTATGTATGAAGACGAATTCAGTTGGATCTCATACATTTGAAGAGGTATTTATTGTGATGATTAAAGTTTGTGAGATGAAGACTGATGCCTAGGATTTACCAGACATTTATAAAAGAACTACAAAATTACACATATTATAACACCTGACAACACTAATGATTTCTACATACGTAATATAAAGAATAATATTTGTAATAGTGGTAAAGTTAAATAAACTAATGACTTATTATTTATTTATTTATGTTGACACATAGATATTAGTACAAGGAGGCATCAAAGACATATGCGCCTCACAGATGTCATTTGATATGTGTGAAGGCTATGATACTGCCCGGATGCCCAAACCGAAACAGGTGGTTTTGTTAGGGGACGACATTCGAAGCCGTCGGCCTAAAAGTCTGATCCACAAGTTAGTATCATGGTAGCTAGTGATCAACAATTGGTTCATACGCCATTTGTTCCTTCAGGATACTGGAGCCCATGTGCACCATTGGTTTGGAATCAGGGTTTTCCCGCTCCCTCAGGTGGACTCTCCATGTCCACCAACCCGGTTAAAGCGACGGAAATTCGCTTTTCGTCCTCTCAATTTCGTAAACAACTCCGCCACGAGAAGGCAGTGAGTAGGAATTTCCTGGCAGAGGCTATATATGCGTGGCCATGTGAGAGCATTTTGAGAGAGAGAGAGAGCGGACTCTCCCCACTCTTGGCCGTATCAGGACATTGAACATGTGCCTAGATGACTTCAAAACTAATTAGTACAAGCAGTCTAGAGTCTTTATCTTTCCTGTTAAGTTCAGAAAACCAATCTCAGCCTCTCCAATAGGAAACATGTATTTCAGATATATTGGGTTTATATACAGACCTAACAGACCACATTCCACTATAAAATGGATAATAACAGTTGTACAATATTTAGGTGTAAATGTGGGAGATAGTAATTGATAGACTGGGTATAACTCAAGAATGATAAATGATATAACAATATTTCATAGATCAAAACAAAGCTTATAATAAGAGGAACAGTTTAGTTAATTAACAACAATACAATAAATGTATACATATCGTCGTAGTCTACAAATAGGTTCCAACAGTTACAATTCATCATTCTCATCGGGATATACCAGGTGGTAAGGTAGAATTAATTCACTATTCATCAACTAATCGGACTGGATAATTCACTGTCAATATTATTCAATGTTCTGACAGATACAGAGTGTATTACAGATGTATTAAGAGAATCCAAAAGTCTAAAGCCAAATCATCCTTCTTTTTCAATTTGTCACTAAGTGTCTAATCTCTTATGTCGGATAACATAAAACTAACTTTTGTGAAATAAATCATGAACCATATTTACATTTAAAAAGCATGTGATCATATTCGTAAAGTGATATCACTTAGCTAATTTCAATGGAGCAATTATTCCCATATCCATTAAGTGTCTTTGGATAAGTGTTACTGTGATATAGTAAGGTGGAGCTGTATTTCATACTTTACTTACGAACGCAAATTAACATTTCTGTTCATTCTTTTGTTTTAAGTCCAAGTCCTATTCAAAATATTACCATAAAATGGAAATCAGCTAGAGGGGTCTTCAATATACAAAAAACGATAATGAGATTACCAAATATGATTGTAAGTTTCATAATTAGTTCACTTTTGATAAACGTATAGTGCATTATTCATAATGCCATCACATCACTTAATAATAACTATCGCGATCTGTTTATTGCGTCAAATGTCAGTACAGTTTATGCATACGTTATGATCAAGCCCTTCAGTTAACATGTTTAACAGAGTGTCATCTAGACAATAGCGAATCGTCACTCTATTGTTATTATTATCGTGTCTTCATGATTGATATCCAGCTAAAATATTGTTTGCCTAATTCTCTCGATGTATCATTTGCTTTCATGTATGTATGTGTTTTAATCTTATCAATTTACTTGACTAATGTACCACCTCTGTATTTGCTCGTTTGGTGGCTTGTGCCTTAGTGATTTATACTATGTTATTCGATAATGAACTGTAGTTAATGCTTTATATTGTGATCTGAAGTCTATACATCGTTTGGATTAAGTTCGTAATTGTTATCAGGAGGGTTGATATGCGAAGCAAAGCCTTGGAAAATATCTCGAAGATAATCCACCACAAATATGTCAATTTCAGTTAGAGGTTCACTCTACCAACATTGGTGCACTAACTAGTTAAAATGTAACAGATCATACCCCTGAAACTTGATTACTGAATAAATCTCTAAGCTGTTTATAATAACTCAGATTATTCTAACTAATTTATTTCAACGAAGTCATAATTGTCGTCTACCACTGGACATCAATAAAATTATTCCTTATTATTTTGTTTTTGTTTTCCATTGAAAGTCTGAAGCACAAAAGCATTTTGGTTGCAACGAAATTCCAGGAATCCAGTTAGATTCTAACCATTTAAGTCACAGAGTTATGGGTGTAAGTTTTTCTTTTATATCACACAATGACTCCATTATTCCACTAATAGTTGCACAAAGAAATAAGTAAAACACTTAAGAAGTGAAACTTTGTAATTTGTGAATTCATTTGAGATATCCCAAAGTTATTTCATTTCAGTCATTCAGTCTTCCAGAATAATGGGGTACTTCATAAATTTGATGATAGTTTATAGACACAAATAAGAACAACTGGTTATTAGTTTAATAGGATGTATTGTAACATTTACGATTGATATATTCCTCTCAAGACATGATCATAAAGCTAATCGATACGACAATATGTTCGACAGTTTTTCAGAAAACCTTTATTGTCTGTTATATCTGTTAAGTTTGAATTGATGAGATTCATCTGGAGGCTAACTTTGACCAAGTATACTACTGAAATGGAAACGTATAAATTCGAATGACCAACAGAAATAAAGCCTTATGAGTTTTATCGCTTATTTTTATGCGCCTAACGCTCACTCTATTTGACTGAGATTTCATAGATATTTCACATAATGTGATATGTCATCTATTACTTTTTGTGTATTTCTGAAATCCATTGACTACTACTACCAAATAAACTTCAGTTTCAGTACAGACACAGTAAAAAAACATAGCGAACTTCTCATATACAATGAAGTGTCAACTATATCAGTTATAGAATATGGGACTATTTAATGGTGAACACAATAAGCGTTGGATCTGTGGGATTAGTTTGGGAATTCACATTTAGAACATCCATACATAAAATAATGTTATCATAAAATGACATCGTGTCAAACATCTCAATTGTAAATCTTCGGTTGAATGAAGCTACTTCACGATTGTACCTGTTGAATAGAACAGATGAACGTAAAGAGACTTTTTTCGTTTGATAAGTTTTATTTCCAGTGTTGACATTTATGTTTCGTTTTATATTCAGAATGATATCTTGACGCCTAATAGACTAGAGTCAAACCTGGTTTCCAGAATACTTCTGGCTTACTTTAAGGATACAAAGTAAGTTGTACATACTGAAATAATAGACAAGTGTGATTATGTAATATCTATTAACTCATTGGTTTCACGTTAAATCTTTACGCTTTCAAAACTCATTAGACGAATCTATTATGTTGAGTAATAAATGTAGTAGTCTGATGAGTAGTGAACAACTCGATTTAGTGAAGAAACAATATGATCATAATTACTTCCGTATCTTTAAATTTCTAATAATGTCTGTCGGACCTATAATTTAGACGTTTCATGGATATGTGAAGTCACAGTTTGTTAAATCATTTTCGTTGGAAACATTCAACGATGGTAAATTAATCCATGACAATAGTAGTCCAAGTCGTTTTCAATAATAATAACCATGGTCCCTTGTTGAAATATATTTCAGTGATAAAAAGAAATGAAAGATGAATTACTATAAAAATGAGATAGTGGAGAGGATTTGTAGCTTGAGTGGATGATTTCGATGGAGTTTTGTTCTCTGAGCTTGATGGTTTGGTCGTGGAGCTTTCATTAGTTCATCACTTCATCAGTTCAGAAGAACGATCAAAGCTCCACAACCAAACCATCCAGCTCAGAGAACAAAACTCCATCAAAACGACTATAAAATAAAATATAAAAATTAAAATTGAATCATAGTGTATTTTTGTAAGACTAATACTTTATACGTAAACTGTCATACAATCAGCTCTGATGATTTGCATGAAGGAGCTCCAACCAGGTTGAAAGGTGACGAGAGGACTGTTCCGTAATTGAAATGTCTGATATTATTTCGAAAATAATTTATATCAACTCACGAGCAATTGAGTTTGTTCACATTTAATGTGGTTAAGATGTGGTGTGTGCTACTTATATTGACATAAGTAGTATATGATGTTAGTCGTGAACAGAGGGTCTGGCATCAGAGAGACAAGAGGATAGAACAGTAAAGAATGGAAACAGGATGCAACTTGTATGAAAGTTCAAGAACAATGAAGTCTGAGTCATTTGGAGACAATTGGTGGACATTTTGGAAATCATTTTTGCACTCGTATGAATATGTATTGTTGAGCATTGCTTACTGCCTACTCATATATTCATTCTGCTAGCCTGGCAATTAGTCGGTAATTGATTCGATGATTCATTTCACTTTACATTTTGTTCTTGTCCGTGGACTAGCCGGCTCGTTCATTTGACTCGCACGCTCACTCGTTTACTCATTTGCTTTTCAGCACTACTATTTCATGCTCGCTTAGTATTACTGTAATTTTGGTGATCTGTGCATAGTGAAATAACTAACTTTATCAACACTTCGTATTGACCTTCTGACTAATACATCGTTGAAGAGTTATCTAGTGACCGTTATCAAAACAAACTATATACGAAGTTTATTCGTTATGTTGGTAACTGACCACAACAAAGAGTTTTGCCTATAAAGTTTTCAAAAATTACTTGGCATAGAATTTCTGTTAGAATTTTCAAAGATTATTTTATATGAACTTAATTTTTATTGAATACATATTTTACTCCACTAAAGCATGTATGATGTCGACTATTCCATGGCCGATGATTTCAAATGGGGGAAAGGATTAGGTTGTGATTTCGTAATGAAGAGCTGTTATGAATTCATTCAGAAAAAGAAGATGTTGTAAGATGAATTTTAATTTTGTATATGTATTCGACACATTTTTATATGTTATAATGGATAATGTGAAAAATTGTTTTCCTGAATTCGTTGCCAGTATGACTAAGAACAACACTACGAAAGTCACTTGGCTTTTAATTTCCATTTCATTTCTATCTTCCATTTCCAAGAAAGTATTCCTTAGAAAACGACATCTGCTGATGTGTGATTCCATTATGAGAATCGTAGTATGGTCAAAGTATTTTTAATGAAAACGAATGTTTATTTATATCATCGGTGGAAATATATTGGATAATGACTTTAATAAAATGATCAAATGAAACTATGGTCAATTGTTTTCATTCTTTAAACTCAATAGAATGAAATGGACTCAAAACGATAAATAATCTTATTATTGTTAGAACTATCATTATAAGCAAAGATAGATATTGGCTAGCAGTGGAATCCAGCTAACGAGTCCCAAATAAGACGAAACGCGAGCTCTGGGTTCCACTGATGACTGATATCCATCTTTGCTTCGAATGCTCGTGGGTTAAAGTTATATCGAGGCAATACGCACAAGATGCACATATGCCAATAAGAGACTAATAAATTGCAATCTTAAAAATCAATGGGAATGTTCAAGTAAACTATACCAAGTGAATTTAAACTTCACCCCATTGCACAAGCAAGTGGCTATCGGGTCTCAGTCGCTAAGTGGAAAACGCTGTGGCTCTTGAAGCGCACGGTATTGGTTACCAGCCCCTATTTGAATAAAAAAATATACAACGTGACCAAAACATATTATTTGATCTTAAAACAATTCAAGAAGATCAATATTTTTTTAATTTTTGCTTTTGGATTTCAGGAAACAAGATATTCAGCCGTTCTGTGATACTCCATGGGAAAAAAGATGTATAAATTATGACAGAGCAATAGGTCGATGTTCACTGTTTGATTCGGAAACTGAGCTGCCGTTGCACTTTCAGTATGCCGATAATTCTTTTAATGTACCTCGTGATAAACAAACGTATTATTCAGGTCCCGATATATATGATTACTGTCCTGTCTATGAAGTAAGTTACATTGGTTTGCAAACGTTTCGTTCAATCATATTGTTTCATATCGATGTTCCTGGAACAAATCCGATAACAAAAATACGTGATACTCTACGATTTACAATCCACATTTTTTTGTAATATTTATATTTTTAGGAGGCGTCGAGGTACAAATAGTAGATTACCGAACGTACAAAACTACTTAAACAGGACGATTTTGATTTAAATAGGTTGGAACTACACTATTTTTTTAAACTCGCACATGCACATTATGAACATCGCTGGTTTACGGCATTTGATATCTCCAATTGTTTAATGATATGGGATAAGTTCTATAGTGTATGTGAATAATCTCCAAAATGGAACCGTGGTATTCCTCACAAAGGTAGTAATACAGAGAGACAACACTAAGAGTCATTCACAATTGGTATTTAACAAAGTACGGCGCATAACACTATCACTATCGCGAAGAATTACTGCAAATAAAATCATTAGTTGGACATAGTCAACGCACATTAGTGTAACTGATTCGCTTTTCAGACTGGAATGTTTTCCAATGATTTGATATGTTTATAAACATTGTTTGTCGTATTTATGCTTAATTCTTCACAGATGTTCAAACTATACAATGGTCGAACATCAGCATGCAGATTCAATCTGAACCTAAAATCAGGTTTGTTGATAAAACCATTCAATTTAGTTAGGAAAATATCTTTATATTCATGTATATACATGTACAGTTTTCAGTTTTTTCCACTTCTTTCATGTATTGTATATGAGAAGAATCTAGAAAGTACTCGTATCATGATCATTTGATGCATAATATGCAAGTATACTAAGGGAACGCAAACAAAATAATGAGGAACACAAATATATTTCAATGGTTAAGATTATGAGTCCGTTGAAGCTAGACCACCATGGGAAACCTGGTAGCATTTGACGGCCGTTTCGTCCTATTTCGGGACTCCTCAGCAGTGTGCATCCAAATATATGTACAAACATAATTGAACAACTAGAACGTGTGTAGCCGAGAATATTGGGTTTATGTATATGTGAATTGGTGAAGGAACTGTCTATTGAAATAATATTGACATTGCAATTCAGTCATATACTAATGATAATTTTAATAAGATATGAATCTAATCTATTTACGATATTGTTTTTGTCAACCTTGATGATACATACAGCATGTGTTGGTTTGAATTTTGACACATCATTAGCCAGAAACATTAGATTCAGGATTCAAGTTGGATTTCATTGTAACTCTAGATACAGTTATACCGACAGAACAAAATTACTCAGTGAATGAAAGTATCCTTTTGTTCTAGATGAAATTCGTAACGAACACTTCGAACTATGCTCTTTTTCTTCAAAAATGTTGGGTCTGATTTAAATAAATAATTATATCTTTTCAACAGATCTAATAAATAATGAATATCTAGAAGATATGGGTCCAGATTCAACCTGCTTTGATCACGAAAAGATCTTGAGAAAAAACAAAACAACAAATGAAGCTTATCCTAGAACATCATCATGTCATAAAGTAAGTTCCCACGAAGTTGACTCTCAATCTAGTTTTATTTAAACATAGCTGTATTTCGATAGAGTATACGACTAATGCTGAATTATTAGGCAAATATCGATTTCATTCAACCGGAAAACGACTATTCTTTGATATTCATAACCAAGCGAATCCCGTTTTAGCACGATTGGTTCGCAATTCATAACTACACAATAAGTCAAGAATGTCATTTGAATACATATACACATACATGAACTAAACTCATTTTTGACATCATTATCTCTATTGGATGTGAAATATCTACGAACAAGCAACGCTAGTACGTTTCATGATATTATCATCACGTTGAGTATTTCTGAAGGTTTTGATTGTCGACTTCGTTCAAACAAGAGGAACATGATTAAAAACTTACATTTACCAGCATTTTTTAAAACAATTGTTCACTACTCTTCAGTTGTGTGTTGTACAATATGTTAAGAGTACTTCAAATATTTATTCCATAAAAACACTCTTTATAACAGCTTGAATTCTCTGTGAATGATCTTTTTAGTATAAATGTTCAAAAAATGCTGATCTTCAAGTGATTATAAATGGAAAGAGTTTCCCATGTCGCGCTGGCGATCGATCTGCTCATTTGAAGTTGGAAGTACAAAATGTTGAATTGTCCACGGATATACATTGTCCTCCATGTCAATCTGTCTGCAATGTTGGTTGAAGTGTTTTCCATGTGTTTTATCATTGATATACATATATATATATATATATTCCTCATTTGTTATATAATGCCAGGTGACACAGATAAATATACACTATGCGTTCCATGGTGACATATCAACCAGGAATAAATATGATGATGTAACGAATGATAAAATATAACATCTCCATGTCTACTCTTCGTTCATATGTCATCACGGAAGAGATACTTGACACAAATAATTTTCATGTATGTATTCGACAATAAACAATAAATATTTGAGCGACTAAGGACAATATTGCATGTTTTGATTAGCTGACGCATGAAGGTGAATGATTTAGTCTCTCGGCCAAATGTATGGCTTCCGAGTAGACGCATATCAATTGTATACTTCTACCCGAGTACTGATCTTGTGTGATGAGATAAGGCCAGCACTAGTGACTCAAATCAGTGTTATAAAACTGCAACTATTGTCTGGTTCATGGAACTGGTCTACTAGGTTCAATCTAGTCGGGCGATTGTTGATCAAATATGTATGTTTCCGACTGAAATTCTTGTCATTTACCTCCAGTAGTGTAGCTTCTGTATGCTTCAGAATATTAATTAGACTTCAATCAATTCAAAATGTAATTTCTCGCCTGAAATTTGTCGTCAACAATTCGAAATTCTGAAAATATTCCGCTATTATTGATAGTTCGTTGTTTAGAAATTATTGTTTTCCAGATATATACAGTCTTCATCTTTAGTCTGAACATCTCAGAATGCCACACGTCGTTTGAGTGTGGTGAAGTGCTAACATTAGAGTGACTATTTACCATAATTCAGATAACAAGTCTAAATTCATCATCTAATTATTCGGTCGAAATTGTAACATTCGTAACATGCTTGTCACGTAAGACACATATCATTTAGTGAAATGCTAAGATCGACATGACCGATGAACACATTGTGTGCCTATGAGAAGACTTCTAATGAGATATAACTAGAGTGCGGTTGCATTACGTTAACTATGATTTCAAGTGTCCGATATCAGATCGCATATCTGTCTGTTGAGTAAGTTGACGTGCTCCACAATTTTTTGTAGCCTGCTGAACCATTGATTATGACCTCACTTCCGAAAACCGAGACATTCACATGGAATACATTTATGGAAATGAATGTGACTTTAGTATATTCGTGCAAACATCATCACGACATTATGGTCGCCAGTTTCTCTGCGTCAGCTTCGTCAAACCCATGATTGGAAGTTTCATGATTTGATCTTTATGCATTTAGATGTAACAAGTGTCGCATATTTAATTTTCCAAATTTATAAATTTCAGGAAAGTTGTCCACGATAAAAGAATACGGAAAAGGAAATATCCAACATCTTTCAACTGTCCGCTGATCAACTATGTCAAATATAAAGGATTTTGAATACTCATTTAGAACTTTTAAAATTAACTCATAAGTCATCTGATCACTTTTTTATTTAAAACACACATTGTGTACAAAATGCAAGTTTGTTTTCCGTTAAATTTTGATCTGTCCATGCGCTAATATACGGAGCGTAACTTGTCTCAATCATGATAATGGCCTTGGCATGATAGAGTGGCTGGTTGGTTAAAAAGTGAGAGAGGGAGGGAAGACGAGTCAACTGGAACACTACCCGATTTACTCCCCATTCCGATTCACGGTTCGATTTGGTTCTTATTCAGATTAGTGCAAAACGATACATGAATAAATGGATGACTAACACGACCATAAAGCACAAACACTTAGAAAATACAATTATGACCAAACTAGGTATTATTGTGGAGAGATAGAATACTAAAGATCACATTTAAACTACAATAACGATGGGTCAAAAAGGGATACCACAGTGAAGCATACATCAAACGAACGCTTATGGTTAGTAGAATAAACTGTGGACAAAACTAAATCCTAGCTTTACAAGCTTTGTATTACGTGAAACAACGTCTTCGAAAATAGCTTCCATTGTTTCTCTGCTCACATCAATTTACTAATTTCAAATTTTGGTGCTCTCAATATATGTGAACTATGTATTGTATTTGTTATGACAACTATTATGTAGATTGGTTCAGTAGTAAACATCAACAAATATTATTAGGCTTATCATAAATGTGGCTGTTTCAATTGCTTCAACGATACGCAATCATCGCTCATATGACTTTGCGTTATTATTGTGCATAAATATACGTTCTGCGAACAGTGTTTTACAGTTGAGCGAATATTCATTGTATAATGATTTATTGTACAAACATGCTCTGTTTGGAACAGTCAACAAAACGAAACCTTATCTGCATGAAAATAGACGAAAAGAAACTGATACAACGGATGGTTTAAACATTTCTTTCTCTCTCTCTCGCTCACACGCTTAGGTATACTACGATGATACGACTAGTCATGCTACATCAGATCCTGGATTCACGATTCAGATTAGAGAACCAGGTTAACACTAGAGACTATATTGTTCAAAATAGTAATAAGAAGTCACTTTCAGTGGGTCTGTAGTGGAGTTCAATGAAAGGAAATAAATCACATGAAAATCAGTCAGTAGGCTAAGTACCATTTTGTTTACACTCAGCGACTAGTACCTCGTCGAAAGACGCATTCAATAAAAATTGAAGTCTGAACTTATTTTTTGAAATGCTTTTCCGGTCGTTTCTGTCTATCATAGATAAATTGCATGGTGGAGACTTCCTACTGAAATTTTTATGGAAACTGGCTAAACTTGTTAATTTCCTAATATCTTTTTATAATATATATCATACTTTCCAAAAATAATAATTCAGTACAAATAATCTCAAAATTTCATATTCAAGTACTGAGTGAGAGTGATGATCACCGGTAGTATTTACGTTTGAGTTGTTGACATGATGCAGTTTAGTGAAAATGCTTCTCTATTTATACAAAGTAAATATGCAACTTACCAACATCTTTGGTAGACTGAGAATTGTCTTCTGTATTTTGTAAGTTCCCTTAGTTGATAGCCAAGGTAGCGTTATGTTTTGAACAGATCTAGGGATTGGAACAAAAACATACAGTGATGTAGATTGAACTTTGTGAACTGTCACTTACTCCACTCAAAATAAATCTTTAATGTCTAGTAATAAATGTGATGTATCAGCTTACTAAAAACGTATATTTAATTGGATCCGTTACCTTGTCTCTTCGATATGGATTATTCTGGCTTTTGGGCAAACCAGGTAGTTTATTCTTGATCATACATTGGACACACGTGTTTTGACCTTGTGAGCTATCCGCTTATAACTTTGACTGTTTAGTACTTTATTAATCACATGTCATTAGCTTATGTCCTATCATACCTTTATCAAAGGGAGTTGGAATGCTGTCACACTGATTTCTGTCTGAGTCAATCAGTACCTGAAGTATGTTCGTCTAGCTCAGTTAGTATTTGGTTTTTTGTCACAGCCATCTGTTAGACGGAGTTGTAAGAAGCAGAATTTGAGAAATCAAACGGTGAATTTACGTTCAGCGTTCAATTATTGTTTGTTTATGATGGTTAGAAAATGGTCTATAGTTTTAACAGAGACTGTGTAATGGAGATTAAATTAGGTCTAGCATTCCAACTGAAAAATGAGTGGAATAAGATGTCACAAACTCTTTTTCTAGTGCTCAAATATTACCGTGCGACAATTAAGCCTGATTATGGCTCTTAGCAATAATCAGCTACTGATGTCTTTAACATGTGAAAGAACGATTGTTCCCAAAGTTAATCAGCATACAGAAACATGGGTTCCTATAATACGCTTGCATTCTCTTTACGTTTCGAACTGCAAATTTCAATTTTCACCCAACAAAATATGTATGCTCCTTTAACGTTAGAATAAAGAAAATTTAAACACATACATACAGTTGATAAAAACAACAGTTTACAACCTGTTTATTAATACTCACGGAATTTTCGCTGACATCAACGTTTCGGACTCATAAATTGAATGATGAAATCCCTTATAAAGAAAAAATAAGTCAATATGATTTAATTTCTTATTCATGTTGTACTCAACGAATAAAACGTTTATTTAAAACACAACACTTGAATCAAGAACATCAATTTCATACTGTTTGATTAAGATCATGGACCGATTGATGTTGGACTACAACTGAAAACCTGGAAGTACTGGACGGCCGTTTCGTCCTATAATGGGACTCCTCAGCAGTGCGCATCCACCATCCCACTCGCGAGATCCCAACCCAAGGCCTTTGATCCCGTGAGCGAATGCTTAACCTTTAGACCACTAAGTTGGCATCTTACATCCATCTTTTCATGGTCTCAATCAAGAACGTAATAATCTTCACAATCCCATACTGATAGTTTCATAGTATTTCGATTTCGCAGTGAATGTAATTAACGTTTTATACATTAAATCATCATATCGACATTTTATAACGCCACATAGAAATCGTTTAATATCTTATGTCTTTACTACTAGACTGTACACTATTCGAATGAATTTAGCTTTTTATCAGTTCAGATTGTTTTTCACAGTGAGCAGTTCATATACATAATGTACAAACTATATGAGTATCATAATGATAGTACGTAGTTTTAATATTGTTTCCATATCTGGCTAATTTAGTTCAGAGTAACTTGTGTAATAAGTAATAAACTGTGAGAAGTGCAAATGCAATTACACAAATTGTAAAAGTTTATACAGAACACAACAGAAATGGATTTGTGATCAAACTAATTAAACAACTGCACTACTCATCGTACTAACCAAATGCTGAACGAAACAAGATTATCCGTATGTCAAAGTACGGAGACCATATTTCATAAACTGAAAAGAACTTACAAGTACATGAGCTAGTTCACGCTTTATTACATTGATCAACGTGTCATCCGTAATTGTGATCGATTCTTCCTCAAGCAGACAATAATTCAATACGCCCATAAAAGGCCTGTAGAATTAAATACAAGTATTGGATTACATTACTTATAAAGCTTTAGTTCATTACTAATTATTTTCCACGAGATATTGTGCCGAAAGGTGACGTTATGTGTATGATAAAGGTGAAGGTAGACAGTCACGATGAATATAATAATAATAATCTTAAAACTACAATATACAGAAAAGTACTTACATTCAAATGAAATAGTCATTCTAAGTGGATGCAACACTACAGAAACGTCATACTCAATCCATCAACATATAACATGAGACAAGCGGTTTGTCCTAATGCAAGAAGCCATCTTGGTGCTTCACATATACTGTAACAAGGTGTGTGGATGTGGAATATTTTGAGCATTGAATCTGTTGATCCACATTTTATATTTGATCGGGCATAAGTGGATCCAGTTGATAACACCGTGAACGTGATCACAGAAGGGATTTCGAGATATTGTTCAAGTAATTCGAGATACTGTTTCACAACTGTCTCTGTAGTATCACTTTCGTTGTTGGTTACATCAATATGATTGTTAAGTTTGTTTACGCTCTCTGTTCGTATTCTCTTCTCGTTAAATCACTTTTGTGCATTGTTCTATACTATTATTTAATATTCAGTGAATAGTTACATTCTTAACAGTGAATGCATTTTCAACATTTCAAATTTCAGAGTTTCACACAATCTCTTCAAGCTTTTCACTTTACAACTAAATTTCAAAGTAAGCTACTTGAAACTTAAGAGTGAAAATGCATGCGTAATTGACCTAAATTTACTCTCCAATCAATGATCTTAGTTCACTTTAATCAGGACAATGAGTTTGAAGTCTTTACATCATTCAGGTCAAATGGGTTTCATCTTATGAAATTTCGTTATGACTACTGTTTTCATTGAGTTCTGAACTTTATCGAAATCTGTTTAAAACCCCATATTGAAACACAGATATATGAACGAAGAATATTCCTTCCAGAAAGTTCCTCTCACATTCATAAGGTGTGAAGTGAAATTACTGATCGAAAGCTATGGCCAAGTTCAAAGCAAATGCACGTTATAACTAAAGCGCATACATTCACGATTGCTTACAGAAGAATAAGAAATTGCTAATGTTAAAGTAGCCATTATGTCACAAGATTGTGCGATTATAAGTCAGAATAACCATTGATGACATCTCATGTGAAGTACCATTTTATAACCACGATTAGTGGAAGACTTAGTATTATGTCGAATCGTGCTGTAGCAAACGAAAACACAAGCGAGAACAACCAAGTGCACTTTAAAACTAAGTGACAGAATATCACGATGAAATCTGAGAACCACGAAGTATATAATTCGTTTGCAAAATATTCATCAATTTTCTCAGACTTTGTTGTTCATTAGTTTGTAGTGACCCACTTTTATCACGAGAACACGACTGGTTTAATGAAAACAATTATTATTATAACCAACTGTACCAGTGACTGTTTTAACGTGTTTTTGTTTAACTGTGCTAAAAAGCATCCATTATTCTTACACTTTGATTGTGACTTCGCGCGAAGTCGGTTACGTTCTGTAACCAAGCTTGTATC